CCTTTTTCTTCTCAATATTCTGACTTTTTTTCTCAGAATCCTGACTTTTTATTAGAATTCTCACTTTTTTCTCAGAATTCTGACTTTAATCTCAGAATTCTGATTTTTTTTCCTATATTAAACTGAAAAAATAAAATAAAAAATCTGTTAATTTGTTTTTTTTAAATGGCCCTAATCCTCTTCCGTAGGATGTCAACAAATAAAGTCTTGCTTTTTTTATTGCCTTTTATTTCAATTAGATAACTTCATTTGAAAAAACATTAAAAAAAAACTATCAATGACATGTCCTATATGACAAACCACATCTTAAGTAAGTTTATAAAGCAGCTTAATCGTTGCACCCACCTTTTAACTCTAATGATCTGGTCCCTCATGGGCTTGATGTCCTGGAAGCTCTGCTGGTTGACCAAGCTGTAAACCAGAATGAACCCCTGTCCGTTTTTGATGTACAGATCCCGCATGGAGGCGAACTGTTCGGTACCGGCGGTGTCCAGGATCTCCAGCACCGACGGAGAGGAGTCCACCTCGATCTCCTTGCGGTAGAAATCCTCTATGGTGGGGTCATACTTTTCAATGAACGTCCCGGTAACGAACTGCACAGTGAGGGCTGATTTCCCGACCCCACCGCTGCCCAGGACCACCACTTTATACTCACGCATCGCGGCTTTCTAATCAGCTGCTGCGGGTTAGCAATCTGCTGCGCTCACCATTTGGATCAGACTCGTCAATAGTGCTGTCATTGCTCAACTAAAGCGGAGCACAAAGACTCGGAAGGTCTCATTGTGGAGATTGTTCCCCATCGCAGACAGGCCAGGCGCTGGCATCCGCGGACTGCAGATGTCCGCTGAAAAAACAAACGCGCACAGCGGATGAAAATATCGGCCGATAACGTGGATAGTTCGAGGTTTTCATCTGATTATTTCAGCCTTTCGCAGGAAAAAAAATAGAAACAACTTTGCTCCATAGAGGACGCAGAGATTCTCAAGCTTTGGAGGAAAGCAGCACAAACTAAAACTGCAGCGACGCCTAATTATCGAACTTGCGTCTGTTTCTTTTTCTTCACCATCTCCGGCATGTCTCCGCTTCTCTCTCGCCCCCTTTACCGCGACCCGGAGCGCGTTCCAGCCGCCATACTCTCGGGTGGAGACCCGCGGCCGCTGCGAATCCAGCCGGTCCCCGCTCGGCTTCCGTACAGAGGCAACAGGGGAATATGAAAAAAACAAAACATAAAGCGTCCCTCCCCCATCAGAAGGACGGGAAAAAGGTCCAATGGTGGCCTCCGTAGTTTGTAACTCTCATTGGAGTCTGAATGGGAGGCCAGGTGAACGAGCCAGTGATATTTCCGTTTATTTGTTAAAATTTCCATAATTCGTTTGCTTCGGTGACATCAAAGGACTGGTCAGCCAATCAAAGGGCTCGCTCTAGGGACGCGTATCCAAGAGGAGTAGAAAAGCGCCGGATGCTGTTGCTATAGTAACGCAGCATTCTTTTGCTTTGATATAGTGCCGCTGCCAAATGAGAGGGGAATTAATTTGAAATATAGAAAAAAAATGTAATGTACAAATACTTTAAATTTAATGTTTTTTATTATTATTATTATTATTATTTTAGCTCAACTAGATCAGTGCTTCCCAATGTTATGGTTTTGTTCCCACTTTATCAACCAACATGGTTAAAAAAAGCACCACTACAAAATGGACAGAATCAACTACTTTAGCTGTGAATGCTCTTTGTTACATTATTAAATTGGTGGTGAATTGATTTGGTAGAAATGTTTGTATGCTTGACAAATATTTTGGGATATGAAACAATTCTGGTAATATTCTGTTGTTGTATTTGGAAAACATCCAATACCACATTATTTTAAAACGCAGAAGCTTGTTTTTAAACCATTTACCAGGTGTAATTTCGTCTTTTCTTTAAGTTGAGATTATCTCAAATGATCCAGATTTAGATTATTAAATTATCTTTTAACCAAGCAGTACGTTTCTGGCGGGCATATTTTAAAAGATAAGAAAATGAATATTATTTTTTGTTATATTTCATAACTCCTCCTTAAAATTTAAATTAATGAATTCACATCTAAATAACCTGTTTTTTTTTTTTTATCCTTTTGACATCCTTCTTATATTTACTGTCCAGCTTTTTTCTATGTTTTGTATCTTTTCATCACTCTAATTATTTGCTCACTCTACACATTTTCTGTCAGACCTAATCATTAGATGTTACAACTTTTTCAGTCAGAATACAAAAAAAAATAAAAAATAATAAACCAAAGATGACTTTACAATCTAAATATCCAAGGGCCATTACTATAAGAGATAATTATTTTATAGATTCTGGGTTTGAATGTGCTACTACAAGATTACTGTAACACTTCTAGCCACCAATTACAAAACTTTCTGTAATCCTCTCAACTAATTTAAATTTATTGTTCACTTAACTAAATAAACACAAATAATATATTTTTATGTCTCTAGATATTTCACAGTGATGCATTTTTCTCTTATAAGGATAACTGACCATATAAACAGATTTGCACAACAAAGTGTGGCTTTATGATTACTTTATACAGAATTTCTATTAAAAAAGCAAAAGATAAGAAAGATAATTCTTCTAATATGTATTTGGTCCATTGGAATCTGTAAATCCACATGAATGAAGCTGATCAAATAACATGATGGATGAGTGACTATCTTATTGAAATATATCAACCACAGTATATGATTTTTCTTTTTTGCAGAGTATATTTGATAAATGATGAAAGATTAAATCTGGCCTGTCCTTTCTGCTCAGATCCAGCTTACAAACCAGTTCTGGTTCTCCTGAAGTCCATGCAAGAATCTTTCATATGTCTAAACCATTTAGCTAAAGCCATAAAAAGTATAACAGAACACCTTGGAAATAGGAAAACTACGGAGCCCCTCTGATGACATGGTCAAAAAAATTTTTTAATTCTGGCCACGAAGTAGTATTTCGTGCGCACGAAATACTACTTCGTGGCCACAATTAAAACTTTTTTTTTGACCATGTCATCAGAGAGGCTCCATAGAAAAATTTTCAAAGAGGAAAAAATAAAAATACAAATAGACATTTTAAAAATAACTCCAGAGACATGTGCTCCTGGAAGCTTGCTTATGCAAGCTGTGAATTTGATTGAAACATATATAGTAAACAAATAGAAAACCCGAGCATGGAATGCGCCATTAAAATCAAAAACTTTATTTTAAGGTACTTTGGGTGATTAATTTCAGCAAGACTATTAGAAATATAAAAAGGAAATAGCTAATTTTATATATATATATATATATATATATATATATATATATATATATATATATTATTACCTTGTAGGCAAAATAAGAGTAAAAATGAGTTTCTAATCTTACTAATCATTTGTTAGAATCTTACTCATCAGCTCACTTAAAACATGTAAATGTTTGATTCCAAGTTATGTCGCTGTGAATCTTTGATGCCCAAAGTCACTGCTAAAGAAAATATATTATTTTTTATTATTATGATAATGACACAGATGCTAAAGTGCATGTTAAATAAAAACAGACTCCACAGCTTTGCATTTATATGACATTTCTTTATTTGCAATATCTCCAGTTTTACACATTTTCTAATTAAATGACCAAAACTGTCCACCTGAAATGTTTATGCTCAAATAACTCCTATCAGGATGCAAAATGATTGCACCAGCATGGCTATTTGAAGAGATGGCTAACTCTTTAGTTTAATCATACACAACGCCTAGCTGATCAATCCATTCAACCTGAGGCATTTCACAATATCATTTGTGTTGTGATACAATCTGAAACTACATTTTCAATCTCTAAACTTACTCAACCTTAATAAAAACATCAGTCAAATGTATCTCATTGAACAACGTAACAGTTTCAGAACAAACAGGAACTCAGGATAGATTAAAGATAAGGCAAAGATTACAAATAAATCTTCTTAGTCATTTGACAGTTGCCAAAGTGCAGACAGGAGGTGTTTCTTTTAGTAAGACAAAACATTCTGACTGTCCAAATCATCTGGTCTTGAATATCCAATATGAAGCAGCTCCATGTGTATTCCTGCTAAGCTCTTTGTCCATAAAATGTACACAAATATTAGATGTGAAAGCTTAATTAAAAGGAAAATGGGTATTCAGAGCTAGTGACACACTGAAGTTTAAAACAGTCTTACTTTAAAATTGAATACAACTTCTGAACCATCAAACCTTCTACATGAAGTAGAGCAATCTGTCTACATACATGTATGCAATTAGCATTAGTGACATCAGGGATAAAAAAAAACAAAAAAACACTGTTGACTAGTTCCCCTCCTTAAATCACCAGCTTAATGTGGTGGGACAAGTTTGTGATTCTCAAATAGGAAGGAATGGTAGATTTTTACCGACTCAATCCCGGGACTGTAAATAAATATCTATGCCAAATTTTCAAATATCGAATGCAGGACTAGTAGCCATGCTGTCAACAGATTCCCCTCAATGAGGTTTTTGAGCTTCTCAGAAGGGTAACTCCTGATGGCTGCAGTAGGAAGAGCTGAAAACAGATGCGTTCCAGTAAAATACCACAGAAGTTTTTTGTTTAAGAAAAAATAAAGAAAATATAAGAAAAGCAAGGTTACAGATAATTCAGTAAATCTCTGCATTCAGTTTCTGATAACTGTAATACCCAACTTCTACTGTAGTTAAACTTTCTAATCTACAGCAATTATCTCACATTTTCATCAATTTAATCTTGTGAATGTCTTTCTGATCAAACTCTTTCACTGTGTAGCATTTGAAATATAAGTGCTATGCAAAAAAAATGTAAGTAGCATCATATGTGGAACTGTTTTAGTTTTCCGTGTTTATACAACTGGTGCAACACACTGCTGCACATAACAAGCAACTCAAAAGCCTTACTTTTAAAGACATTCGTTGTCTCTTGACAAGGCAGTATCCTGATCATTTTATTTTAATAGGATGAAAAAAAGAGTCAATGTTTCAAAGGAACTAAAAAGATCCAAAGTCATCTTAATAAATTACATTCTTCATAAAATATAACAGAGTACATTTTAAGTGTCCTAAACTAAGAAATACTACTGTGTACTTATTTCAGTATATTCTAATCAAGTCTAAAATTACTGAAGGGGGAAATAAAGACCAAATAAAGGATTTTCAAAACGTAGGGTGTATTCACAACACTAAAGTCCTTTGGTCTGCTTGTTTGGTCTAGACCAAAATCGTATGTGTTTTTTTATTTTTTATTTTATTTTAATTGGTGTGGTTTGCTTTCAAATTATGCTTTTTGCAAGTGAACTATAACTTCTAACAAAGCAACATGTGTGACGGTCGTTGCTTCCATTGGACTGAAGGACGAAAGTGAGAAAGAAAGAGCAGATCCGAAAAATGAAAAACTAGTGTGAAAGTCCTGCGCGTTGAATCTCTTTTCTGCACATTTGCGCTGTTATTACAGCTGCAAAATAATTTTTAGTGTCAAGAGCAGTTCATTCAACACAGGCTTCGCAATGTTCTAACTTTGGAACTGTGTCGTAGAATAAATGAACAGCAGAATAAATGAACAGCGGCAGCAACGTTGCTAAGCAACTGACCGGTATGATTTTAGAATTTGTTTAGTCCAAAGAGATTTCTGTAGTCGGGTGAAATCGAGGTCGGTTTGTATTCTTATTTTAAGCAAACCACAGTAGAGTAAGAGTCTGTCTGGAGGCGGAACAAAACCGCCTCAAAAAGGGGGTCTGGTGGCTTGGTCCAGACCATGGTTCACTTAGGGGAAACAAACTCTGGTCTTTTTAAAGCCGACTACATGTGTTAGGTGTGAATACGCCCTTAGGAAATAGAAGTACACCAGATAAGTTATTCTTCTTAAAAACACAATAGTCAGACTGGCTGCTGTGATGGTTTAACCACACAAACACATTTCACCAAAACAATTTTTTACCTCTGAAATTCTATCATACCATAAAATATTCTTAGCTCATTTACAACATATTTTTTTAAAAACCTAAAAAAACCTAAAAAAACAAAAAAAAAACTGGATAATAGGTCCTATCCACAGTACTGTGTTTTAACATTGGTAAGAATTTTATTCAAACTAAATCATATCAACTTTTCAAGAAAACGCACTGACTTGGCACAGCACACTACATTGGAAATCGGTCTCAAACATCAGTGGCTGAATAAGTACATTACTGAAGTGCTTTTTCACACAAAACTTTGTAAATATTTTAACATGTTGATTCAGTAGCATTACGCAACACAGTCTACATCCTCTTGGATTTAGAGGTTACATTTCAGAAACTTGGAGGTTCCAATCTGATCCATAATGTTTTCTTAACATTTCCAGAACTTTCTGGTTCCAGTACCCAGTACTAATGGGTGTTTAAATTGATGTCTAGAAGAACTAGCACTTTTGCAGAATCAGCTATATTCCTAGAGCTTACTGAGCATTCAAGTAAGCAGTGTTTATTATCCAGTAATGTGTATCTGGGTACTTTCAAAGTACTTCGTGAAACTCATAAATATGTTTTTAAAAACAAGTATTAGGTTCCACAGGGTTACAATTCACCTTGTGTTACACCTCATACTAGTAAGGTTTGGAAAGTACCCTAGAGCTTAAAAAGGTAAAGATACTTAACAAGAAAAGTATCTGGTAAAGGTTTCTGAAGGTAATCTCTGAGTTCCAGGAAAGTAAATATGGACTGTGTTGTGTACTTCTACCTACCATTGTATGTAGGCACTTGAAACATTCAAACAAAACAATTCTGAAAGTGTTCACACAACACCTTAGCAGTTGTAATCCCAGCTGGCATACCTACCATAGCCACTCTTTCTATTGTTTAAACTTTATCCTCTAAACATCTGACTCAGAGTAATAAGCTTATGAAGTTTATATTGTTAAATGTACACCACTTTTAATGTGACTACTGTGATGGCTCATGAGAAATTATTTGACATCAGATGGATTATACAGCATTTCCTCTCAGCATAGAACCTGTCTATGCAATGCAAAGGCACACCAGAAGGTGGAGCACTGATCCAGTTCTCTGGGGATCTTTCTGAGCATTTTAAAGGGATGTCCATAAGCCAGTTTTCATATTATACATTATAACATGAGAATAAAAAGCTAAATAAGTGCTTGCCACTGGTTTGTTAAATTTAAGTAAGATCTGGCACTATGGAATCATTATAAAAAAAAATTTACTTAAATAAAACATTCAAGGTAAAAACAATTCGCAATATATGACCCATCTGACATTTCTTTGACCAACCTAAATGTATTCAGCCATAAATATGTACACACTTAAATGGTTTATAAGTGAGATTTCTAGCCTTTTTGTTCAGGACAGTTCACAAGGTGTTATTACTGTATTTACACTGTGTTCTTTTCTGCTGTTTGGGACATTTCTGGCTGCATTTGTACAGAATTGCCTCTTTTAAAGAGGCGATTCCTGTACAATTCACATATGTAGACACAATACTTTAATCTTAATTTAAACTTAATCAAGATCGGTAAACGGGGGCAAAGTATTCATGAAAAGATTGAAAATGTATTTTAACATAGATTTAAAAAACGTGCACTGACGACAGAGGTTCTATAATGCAAAGTAACCCTCAAACTTGAACATATCAGTAGCAACATTATGAACATGCAGGTTGTTGTATGGTGTGCATGATGTTAGTAGAATGTTTGTAGGGAGGCTGTTCAGCACCTCGGACAGCTGCAATGTGGCAGTGACTTCTGTTTCTGATGGTTACTTGAGGATGATCTGTTTTAAAAAGAAGAATAGTTTCACACAACAGAGCCTTGAAATGTGCTTTTTTTGCAGTTCTGGACAGTTTAAATATACTTCAGCATTCAGGTGATAAAGTTTCTATCTTTCTTTTTCTCTTTTGCACAAATAACTATTGTATTCTTAATAAAAAAAAAACTATTTCAGAAATTTCTGAGCTTTAAATCAACAGATCCAGGAATTAAGGAAATCATTTATTTTCTTTTTATGTAACTAGGTTATCAAAAAGAGATTTTAAACAAATAGCACCAAATAGGTTGGGATAAATGGAAAGCAGTGAAATAGATAGCATTCTAAACTGTCACTATTCTAAAATATTTTATTATCAGCATTAAACTGTTGAAAGCTGAGGATGTTAGGAGATAAAATAAAAGCAAAATCTCCCGAAGGTTTCATGTTTCTCAGCAAAGATAAAAAGCATAGAAATCTCCTATGATTGGTTACAACCAAAAACTTTAATTTATCAGGATTTTATGTGATAAACTAACACAAAGTATCACAAAACTTAAGTAAAATTACACCCAAATACACAATCTGTTTAAAAAAATAACAAATAAAATCTGAAAAGTGCGGCTTGCACTTATATTCTGCCCCCTAGAGATGTTTGCCTGTTCTTCCTTGCAAAGCAGCATTATTTTGTGAGGCAAGGATGCATGCGAAGTATCTCTGAAAAGCAGTTTTCAAGATTTGACAAAGATTATTCATTGAATTTTGATAGAACTTTACCTAGTCTTAATAAACACAATTTGATGTAAAAATGTTGGTTCAGGTTGTGTATTTACAGTATTTCTGGCTTAACTGCCTCTCTTTAATGTGCAGTTCCAGATAGAAATTTTCACTCTGATAAAAAGAGAAAAAAAACAATAACCACATTATGCTTACAAAGAGAATGTTTACATCTTAATATAACCTGCATTATAGGTTCCTACACTGCTATTAAAGGTTTGAAAAGACAACAGTGAACAAAGCACAAAACATGCAATAAAGAATAAAGCGACACGGTTTATTGCAGGTTGAAGACTTCTTAAGAAGTGTAGTCTGCAGTAAGGGAAAGGAATGAAATACAGCCTAGCAGTTCTGCTGAAGGTCTAAAGGTATACAAAGCTGTATGGCTGTTAAGCAAGCGTGACATCCTGATGCTGATGAAGCAACTCCCCTGATTTCATCTCCCAGATGAAGCACTGATACAAAGCTCAAGGATTTACCACAGAAAGCTTTAAAAAGGAGCAAACCTGATTGGCTGGTGCTGTTGCTGCGTAGGGGACACTTGTGGCAGGAGTGGCTGCTGCAGAGACAGTAGCAGGCGTAGCACTGTACATCATGGGGACTTTTTCAGGAGGGGAACCATGGAAGCAATGAAAAGGGAGGTGAAGCGTTATGGTAACCATAGCAATGTTTCTCGTTCTCTGGCCAAGCAAATATACAATGACAGTAGCAGCAAGCCATCATTGGGTTAGCCAGCAGATGGCATGTGATCACATGGCAAAGCAAGACAGCAAGGGAGAACATAAAAGGAGCGCTAATAAGAAATGTAATTAGGAAATCTGCTCAGTAATGGACATCCCATAAGTCTATAGATATATTCAAAATTAATTAATGAATGTCAGGGATACTGATCATATTTCCTAATATTTCCCAGAGGTGCATGGAAAAGTCTACAGACAAAATCTGTCAAAGTGATAACATTTTAACATTAACTACGGTATTAGGAACAAAAAAGGAAATTTTATACCTAGGATGAGAAAAATGTTACATATGTAGATAAACAAAGACATTTTAAAGTTCAGGTATTCTGGAGCTGGAAAAAAGTTTTAATCATATTCATTTTTAAACTATGGAATTTAAGACATTTTTTGAAGAAGACGAAGAAGTAACATACCATAGTTGTTAGCAGGAGTCATGCAAAAGACAGAACCTGTGTGATTACAAAACAAGAAGAACAAATTTAGCTTATTCTGACCATTCTGTTTGAATCCAATTACATCATTCAGGAATGTTTGCATCAGTTGTTTTTCAGATGTCTAGTTCAGGCATTATTTCATATTACTCTGGTTTCCATTGTGGTACCAAGAGCCGCCCATAGGAAGGATAACATGACACAAACAAACATAAACACAGTCAGTGTTTAGGTGCTGCATATTTATTCATTCATCTGAACCAACTAGATCCCTGCTTTTTAGCTTCAGCTCTAAAATTTCTCTGCTGCAAACTCAGAATGCCTAATATGCTAGTGTTAGCTGGAAAAGCACACAACAGTCATTCTGACTGATGAAGTCCGCTTCTTTAACAGCAGGGAAATAATTGGCCTTTCTGTATTGCTTAAGGTAATTTAAAAAGACAAAAATCTTCAAATTTCTTTGCAACTAACAGATAAAAGCTAATAGGTTACTGTTAACCATGTCAGAAAAAACTGCATTTAGATAGCAATTCTTGATTAGACTATGGCAGATTCTTCCCATAGTTTTGTTTTTTTAAACTGCTCCAAGGTATTTTTATACCAAACCCACACAGTCATATTCTATGTCTAGTTTTGAAATGATCAGAAGACAGGGCTGGGTTTAATTGCGCTTTTAATGTGCGCTAAACTGTGTGACTTTGGGGATTAACCCTAGTAGAACATAAACTCCTTATATGATTTCCTGATGTGATAAATGTTTATTACCTTCCAGATGGAGATGCTGCACCTTTTGTTAAGATGCCACTATTAATGCTATTTCTCTTTAGCGTTGCACTTTCATGCACTAAACATAACTGATTCAGAATAAAACATCAAATGCTACACAACACTGGAGTGTGTACAATAGTTTGGAAATCAGTGGATTTGATAAAATGCAGTTTTCTGCTACGAATTTCAAGTATTTGTGGATACATGTAGTTACTTACTGTTAATGAAAATGTAAATGTTCATGTCTTGAATTTTAAACTGATATTTCAACCTATTTGTAATGATCTTATATATCTGATGTCTGACAAATTTGGGGAATATCTTTTGGACTTTATCGAATAAAGAGGGATCATTTATTTGTTAATGTAGGCCTACTTTATTTTGTCATATTTCTGTCTCAAAATATGGATTTTAGTCAATGTCTACTGTTATGACCCCCCTGTTGGTCTAGGGGAGTGGCACTACAGAGACACTACATTTCTTCGCACACTATTTTCTCCATAATATAAACATGGCAAAGTGAATTTTAAAGTAATTCTGTACTAAAGTTGCACTTGGGTCTTTATTCTACTAAGTGCAATAACAACTACTTATTTGAAATAACTCTTTTACTTGGAACACTGTCTTTTGTAGTAAATTAAGTCTTGTCACTGTGGTTACATGTAGTTTCTTTAAGGTGACAAATAAGAAATTTATGATTAATACCTGATCTGCAGATGTATTGTCAGGTTGGAAAAACACAATAAGGGCTTTTGACATTATAGGAAACACTTAAACCAGGAAAGTAATCAGTTAGTCCTTAAAATCTTGAATTCATTGCACTGGGATTGTATATGACAACACATGATTGAAACATGTAAGAAACTAAACTATATATGCTTTTCTAAACTGATTCATAAAGAATAAAAATGAAAAAATTTAGCATATAATCCAGTTCAATATCACTTGTAAAGCATAAAAATACAATCAGTCTGATATGATTTCATCAAATTTCATAGTTATCTAATAAAAAAAGACAAGGTTTTTGTTTAGAAAATTTAGCATAAGGGCTTTGAAGGTGTCTTAGATGAACCAGAGTCAACAAACATCTTATAGAAAACAAAGAAAAACTCTGAACAGATTAAACTCTGGAGACCGTTGCTTGAAACATCTAAAAAGACCTCCATTTAGTATATTACACAAAAAATAAAGAAAAAAAAAACTTGGAATGACTGCAACTTCCTCATCCTCATCTGAGTTTCAGGATGTGCATTAATGCCATGGTAAAAAAAACTGATGGAGCCAATATATTAAGAGTAGAAATTAGCAAAGGTGGTTAGTAACAAGTCACATTTCTAATTTTTATGTGGAAAAAAAATGTGGTAAAAATATTTTTCTTCCACATAAATTTGTTATTTCATACTCATGCATTTATTTGTATTCCATAGTAAACGCAATTGATTCTTGCAAATACCAGAACTTGTACATAAAGTCTGTCTGTCTGCATCATTTCTAAACATTAAATCAGATGCTACTATCCAATAATTACTTAACATCTGCAGAGGATGAATTTCTTTCAGTATTGTAATGTAATTGCTGTCCACTAGAGGGATGATGTTTATGCTTAAGAGCCTCACTGGTAGAAGTAATGAAAGAGCGGACGGATGCTAGTGCTGAAACATGAATCGATCTAGAGTCCGGTGCTGAATTATCAACACAGTTTAATGGAAAGAAGGATGCTGAATACCCTCTCTGAAGTTCTGTTATTATATATTAAAACTCTATTAACTCAAGAAGTTTAAAGGCACTGCTAGCAGCGCAAAGTATTAACCAGCACCAATTGCTGGATTGAATCAAAACAGACAGCAGTTAGCATCCGCTTCATTGAAATGAGGTGGCAAATAGTCTGACAGCATGTCAGATTAACATATCCTGTCTGTTAATGATATCTTTGCATGTCTATAAGGGGGAAGTTATAAGTGTTAAAAAATTTATTTTTCTCATATTTATTTAGTATCAGACGTTCCTGTTTTGTTATATTTTCTCAACATTTTTAGTTCATTCAGTCAGTTTTTAAAATATAATTATGTACTGCTTTTTAAAATTCAGCATATTGTAAAAAATATATATCTAGATTCTTAAGTTAATGGAAAGATTGTCTTATACAAGACAATCTTACAAAACATCTGTTTTAATAGATTACAGATGTTTAAAAAAAAAAAATCAATCAATTGATTGTTGGTTGATCGATAAGATCAGCTAATTTTAGATTAATTCATGAATCTATAACATGTATCCTCAGTTTCATAATATTTCAAGTGCCATGTATTTATGCTCTGAAAGTAAATAATGTATTTTACTAATTAAATAGACTTTGAATGCCATCGAATCCCCACACCTTGTACTGGTTTTAGTTTAGAGTCAGTGCCAAAATTATCCTTGCAAACATTTATAAGAAAGTGACTTAATCAGATAAGATATGGCAATATGTTAGGAAACCAGCACTACACATCACAATGAACACACTTATATCTGTGTAAAACATGCTAGAGTCAGAATCAAACTTTCCCATCCAAACCAAATAAGGGCATCATCTTATTTAGCGAGGGTGGGAAAAAGACAAACATGAAACTGAGGTGAAAGTTAAATTTCAAGCTGCAGCACCACAATGGTTTAGAATAGATAGTACGTTCATATGCTGTTCCATCCAATGTCCAGAGTATCTATCCGTAGAAAAATTTTTGTTTTTGAGGAGAAATCAAAATAATACAATTTAACCTTTATGGTTGCAATGTAAATATAAGTTGTATTAATGGCTCTGTGGAAAAGCTCACCAGTGGGATAAAATCCTGCTGCAGCTTGCTGTAGCTGTGTATTGGCCAAAGCCTGCTGGTAGTGCAATAAACTGGGTGAGAGGAGAGAGCTGGCCCAGCTGCTCTTCTCAAGGGCTGGTCTCTTTGGTAGGTGCTGCAGGACGCTGGGTGGAAAGCCCTGAAAAGTGACAGAAAGAGGCATGACAGCTACTTCATTCTCACTTCTCCAAGGTCCTGTTCTTAATTTGTTAAAAATCTTTTTTTAAATATACATATAAATAAATATAGTACTAAAAGAAACATTCATATAAAAACAACCACAGTTGAATCATTCCGGTAAAATTGATGATAAAACATAACGTTTTGAACAAATTTGGTTATTTAAATGTACACTAATAGTGGATGTTTGCAGGTGAGAGGCTACATGAAGAAGCTGTCAATTACAAATGGCAGAATAAAATAAAAAAAATTGTTTCTTTTTTTTTTGTTTTGTTTATGACAACAGCAACATGCAAAGCAAAAGGTGAAAAGTACCAGGTCTACAGCTGCCTCGAGGGGTCGCTTCATTGCTTTGGCGGTCGACTGAGTCTTTTAATAGCAGGCAGCGAGCACATGATGGCAGTGGGCCAATGGGGGTTCAAGAGCATTAACATACAGGTAACAGCAAGAAGAGGTGCATCATGGAGAACAGCATTGTGGTGAGAGGAGGGGGAGGGAGGGGAGGGGGACAAAAACAAAATAATCTGAATGCAGTATACCACATAAACATTCATGCACAGTAACAAAATGTATTATAGGGTGATTAAATGATTAAAAACAAGCTGTAAGTCTGAATTTTGTTAATAAATAGATTAGACAAGATTTACAGTGATTTTTGTCTAATATACGTATAAACACATATACCCTCAAAATGCACAACTATATACAGTTTATATTACCTAAGAGAAGCTCAGATAAGATTAAGAGAATGAAAATACAGTAAAATTAGTGGAGCTTCGCATAATAACAGAATTTTAGACTCAACACGCCAAACGAATTGGATAGTCTGAGAAAGGGATATAGATGAAAAACACAGCAGGCATTGAAAATGTTCGCTGTTAAATGAAAGATGATTTGGTTTTATGAGAGCCAGCCCAAAGACGTGCCACAAATCAGCAGATGAAACATGCGCTCGGCATCATAAAACACAGTGGAGCTCCATTTACTGCGTTTACTGCAAAGCTTGGGGTGGAATGATGGATACCTCTCTGACATATATGAAAATCTACACCTGCTTTTTAATGTAAAAAAAGAAAAAGAAATATACCGTACACATGTAACCAGAGAAGATAATATACATGAGAGGTGATGTAAATGGTCAAAGTACATTTTTAATCATGGTACCAATTCTTTAAATCTACAGCTAAATTTAGATTGTTCATCCACAGAATCGAAATAAGATCTACAAATATTTCAAATTTGACTGCCAATATTTTGCTATGTAAAAATCCTTATAAAGTATAAAATGTGGGAAAAATAGTAAATTCCTTGATAGTTGCTTTACTGGAGCTTATGGCAGATGTGAATTGAAGAAGAGAGAATACTGATATTTAACCCAAAACATGTTGAAGACTTTTTGAAACTATTTTTTTTTATTAATTATCTTCTAAGAAATTGTTTAGTAATTTTTCAGATGAAGGGAACATTTTGATAGGTTTACATCAAAACAACCTTGCTCTTTAGAAGGAGCACATTCCTTTTTAAAGTTGTAGGAAAGCGGCTGTTCCAACGATTGCATTTCCGAATTCTCCAGCGTGGTGCCCGATTTTACAGGAGTGAATAAAGTGAATGTGGCGGAAGGTTCGCAAGCTTTTGGTTGTGGGCGGTGTCTTGGAAGCATCTTTCTAACCAGTTAGCAACTTAGCGCTAGTAGGTTCCCAATGGGAAATTACATTGGGACCAAGTTAGCAACGACACTGTCAAGGGGTAGAAGGCTTACAGCCGAACATGTTTGAGCCCTTGCCTCGCAACGCTGCCTGTTCTGTTAGCTCTATGCCTGCCGAAGACACAGACGTCCATCCCTGTGAACACTGGGACGGAACTCAATGGTAAAGTAAATTATTCTTATTTCTTATTTCAACGGTTGCGTATATTAGCTGCGACGTATGAATCAAGATGCTATGACCGAAAACATTTGATTGACAGCTGACGTATAATTAACTGGCCTGCTAACGAAAAAACCCCCACAAATTTTAAGACAGGACTTTTTTTTTAAAAATAGAAATGTTCTAACATTTGGGACAACATGGTCTGATAAAGAGTACATTTATATATATATGTTTAAGCCAGAATGATTTGAAATTCAAATATGACTTCCCCACGACTTTAAAATCTACTGTATACTACATGGCTGCACTGGCTAATTGCAAAGCAGAAATAAGCAGTGCTCCAAGTTTAGCATTGCGATAGGAAACACAGTAGCTGTTATTATATCCAGTCATGGTAACATTCTATCCTCTGCAGCCATAGTGATGCTTCTTTAGAACTAGGAAACCTTGCACTCTAAATCTGTATACCCTAAAGTAAACAGCAAAGACTATTTTTTTTGTGACAGAAACATCAATTTCTCCATTAGAAGGTTTAGGAACTTTCTATCTAGATGTTTCTTTAGCTTATGGAGTCCTACGTAAGAAATAAATACATTCTAATTGCTTATTTGAATGGAAAAAGATGATATTCATGAAGAAATCCTGACAGTGTGAAAAGAAAGGACTGGGATGCCACCTTTTCTAACATTTGTAAATATACAGGTAGCTACCTCAAACAATGATTTCATTCAAAATACCTAAGTTATTGTACAATCTAAGCTTATCGATAGCTGGTCCAGTCATTTAAAATGTATTTTATGATATTTTTTGGTTATTTTTTCTCATTATACATCTGATATGTTAAAAAGCAAAAACTTCCCCATCACTGTAAATCAACCTAACAGGTTCCCTAAAACATGAAGAATTTTATATGTAAATATCAGCTGTGATTTATTTTAAACTTATTTCACTGGTTCTGCTGTTTTGTTTAAATTATTTTGCAGAACACTTGAAGATGTTTACAATGATGCATTACGTAATGGGCATGTTTTATGACATGCCAACAACCCGATAAGCTCAAAAGAAAAGAGACTTTAAATTCAAATGATCTGAACATTAACTACAAGGCTCCACAGCCTCAGACACAGTGAATGCTCTCACAGTGTTGAAGAGACAGATGATCTGAAGTAAGTTAGATTGAGAAGGATAAAGCTCTGTCTTACCATGGCTGCAGCTGTGGCCTGGGCTCCTGCCCCTGTCTGACTGACTTGTTGTTGACTGGATTTGATTTTGGCCTGCAAGTGTGCAGGCGGGTGAAAATACTTGCACTTCTCTCTGGAGCAGCGGCTCTTGATGTAGTCCATGCAAACAGTGACTGTGTTGTCGGTGGTGTCAATCATCGGGCTGTCAATGGGATGAGCGAAGCGGCAATCTGTCTCCCCTCTGGAGCAGTTACCTCGCTGAAACTCCCGGCACACCTGAAGAAATAAAAAACAAGATAACCAAAGGAGTTTATCTGTAGCCTATTATGAGCACTGGAATTTTTTTTTTATATAAAAAACACTCTTCCTTCATCTTCAGTACCTCTAATTTATCTGCACGCTGCAGCTTCTGAGATGGCGAGGAAGAAGATGAAGAAGAGGAAGAGGAGGTACATTGGACCGTGACAGCTGAGCTGCCAGGAACAAGAACCTGGGTGCTGGAGAGGATGTCTGAGGGGATGAGACTCATTCCATGGTTCAAAGGGGTAATGTAAGACCCATAACCCAGACTGGTGTTAGTGCCAAGCCCCTTTAGAACAGAAGATGTTAACAATGAGGAGAGAGAACCTGTGTTACATTCATAGATAAAAATAAAAAGAAGAAGAAAGTTGCAAAATCATTCCAAGGATCTCACCACAGGCTGCATACTCGGTCCAGGGATCATCAGCTGCATCTGCTGGGCAAGAACAGCAGCAGCCGTCTTCTGATGGATTAGGTTGTTGCGTCCATTTATCTCTAACTGGGTTTTCAGGTGAGTAGGAGGATGGAGATACTTGCAGTTTTCTCTTGAGCATCTGCCCTGAATTGGGAGAAAGCAAAAAGCACAGAAACGTTCACAGCTTTCCTTTTATGTTTAGCTTATCATGAACATTACCATTCAAAAAGCATGCAATATATTGAAAATAAACAGATATAAAAAGAACAGCTATGATTCTTTTAGGAAGTAAAAGAAAAAAATCTGTTTTTAATCTTATCCGTTTAATTAAGCTTTAACAGAAAATATGTCCGGTAACAGGCTTAAATAGAAAACTCCTTAATACTCTTCTTACTCTCTTAAAAATCCATAACTTTTGATCTAGGTACTGATATATTTGAAAAGGTTTGAAAATCCAAAGTGCTACACAAAGTGAGAATAAACATTAAGACATAATTAAAACATAAAATGAATAAACCTAACAAAGCTTTTAACATCTGTGAAAAGGTGGCAGCAGACAATCGAATGCACCACAAATAGATAAATGTATAGCAAACACAAGATTGATTAAAAACTCCCTAAAAGACAAAACAATGAAAGACAATACAAAAGAAAAATTATGGAAATTAAAGAACAAAATACAGAAGCAAAAAAATCATAAATGCTGCAAAAAACAGGAACTACAGAAATTAACAAATATAGCTGTAAACTGGCTCTACAAAACAGAAATCTACAAGACTACTAGTGGGAGTCACCAAACAAGCCATGTCCTTTTTTAAACCTGTAGCAGATTTTGTGGAGCAAGTTTGCAGCTTTTTTTAAATTCAATATTAATTCTGGTACTTGCAGAATTTTCCTTTTGTTTCGGTTTATTTTCCTCAATGCAACATTTTTGATTTGTAGAGTTTTTCAGTTGTAATTTTTTTTTCTTTTGCTATCTGTGTTTGGTGGAGTTTGCATCCTTTCTCTGAATTGAGGCACATTGTTATGCCACACTTTTCAGATGGGAATTAATTTGTTTTGAATTTAACAAAGTGTGAAACAGTTGAAGTTGCTTTGAATGGCCCTAGAACCAATGCACCTTCAGGCACCTACATGCAAATTACAAACACTGGCATGTTTAGTTTTCTTTTCCAGTAAAATATTGCAAGCGTAAGCTTGTAAAACCTCAGGCTACCACAACCAAGCCTTTCTAAGTTGTTAGTTTTTTCTATATTAAATCAGAAATCACCTCTGTTCAGGTTTGCAAGTTTTCAGCAGCTCTTGTTAAATGTTGAGCAAGGAAACAGGAAAGGTTTGTGCTTCAACAAATCTGACTCACTTCAGGGAAAGTCATGGGATACGAATGAGACAAATACCGAAGACTGTGCACATTCCGCTTGAAAAGCAAGTCAGTTCTGTTGCTTGGATCTTATTTTTTAAAACCGGAATTCAACATTTCCTTCAGCCATATATGAAGAGAATTAAGCATTAAGAAGGATATAGAGAAAAAATATCCTCCTAGAGAGTAAAGATTGGTTATTCATTAAACATTAGGGTGAATTTATATCTCCAATCTTCCGTCATACTCTAACTGTATTTTGGGTCTTAGATGCAGTAATGAAAACATTCCTTCTCACGATGTAGCTCAGTGAGTCTGAGTCAACCATAATGTAATCTTCACGGCTCAAACTTTGGAAATAAAAACATTCTTTCAACATTAGCACAGCAGGCAGAACACCTCACTGCCTAGAATAAGTCTTGGATGTGTGTTAAATATCGCATTCTTAAAAAATATGTTTAGAGAAAGCTCTCGTTAAATGTCCAACTGTTATGGTTGCTGTAATGGAGAATATCCAACTAATGAAATCAATCTTGCATTAATTTGAGGGGATTTATTTATCAGATAGATAAATAAATAGTATTCCAAGCATTAACTTTACTGGTTACTGGTGATTTAGTGGACTCTCCTCCACTTAAAAAACTGATAAAATCTTAAGCTGATCAAGAACTACAAAAAAAATACCAAAAATCTATTTCTAAATAGAGAGAAAAATCAACATGACAAAAAAAGCTAATAAAAAAAGGAAACTATGTAATTACATTTAAATATTTCTTTCTAATGTTTTAGAAAGTATTCCAGGGTGCCTTTTTTAGAGGAAGCAGGGAGGGAACTATTCTTAGTGTTAATGCTTTTTGACCCATGACCACAAGGGCATATAGGAGCACTTCATAAAAGTAGAAAGAAGAGATCAGGGAATGACTGAACATGAGAGTAATCCCAGGAGCAAAGCTGCATGGGGATGTGAGATTGAATGTGTTAGAGTGGATTAAGGCAGAGTCGGTCCCGTACAGGCCAACGGAGCAAGCAGGAGGATAAACTGGCTCTAATCCAATTGGCAGAAATACTTTTTTTTTCTTTTTAAATCTAACTAAATCTTATAACATATGCCAGGTGTTTTGGCTTATTTACATATTATTTTATTGACTGGTATTTTGAATGACATTTTCCTTAAAGGCGTTAAGACAGGAGTTTTGCTTTGAAGTATGGTAAGTGTCTGGACGTGAGGGCATCTTAATCCGCTGTGGGACTTGGAGAAATCTTCATTAGGGAAAATAAACACTGAAAATGGACAGGATTAGTTCTGTTGTGTTAAAACTTTAAAGGGGAGATAAGAATGATTTAACTTATCAAATGTCATTTGGTTGATCATTGCAAAGTAAACTAAGAAAGCTGCAGCACACTTTGCATTTTTTACCATTAGCAGTTCAATGCCTTGAACATGGGTGAGTCTCCAGGGATAAATTTCAAGTATAATATTGTTGGGATGACACTAATTGGTTGAAGAAACGGCTCTTTGTTTTGTTTGGGTATTTTTTGCCAAATGCACTCAGAAATATATTCAAACTATTTTTTGTGCTTTGACTATATTTCCAGTGTGAGATTAAAATTCTACAATTAAAAAATATATATTTCTAAAAGTTTATAAAATAAATGTAAGCAGTAGTGCAAATAAATATGTAGGTAACATCTAATAGCTGTTATGGAAAGCCTGTAGGTTATATTGTACCTAATGTAATGAACAAACTAATTGGTCCCGGTCTACCAAAAAAATCATTCAATGAATATGATCATTTTATTTTACACAACTTTTTAAACCAAAATACCTGAAATCCTATATTACCTTTGGTCAAATAATCTAACATAACAGCATTTAGAAGTCACATACAGTGAGAAAACAATATGCCAATTTAGTTCTTTGTCCATTTTAATACAATAGGTACTGGTGCTGAAACTCATTTTAGTGAACTTGTATAGTTAAGGGATATTTTGTTTCGTAAACATATGAAAGAATCAGTAATAAATCTTACCTTCAGTGAGTCAAAGCACGCAATGACTCTCCCGTTTTCAACCTGGCAGCTCTTGGGTGGATGTGCAAATTTGCATTCCTCATCACTGCGTGAACAGTTGCCGCGCTGAAACTGACGACAAACTTCCAACGTCAGCCATTTGGTGTCTCTTACTGAAGACATATTGAGTGCCATGTCCAAAATGCGTTCACAACACAGTAAGTGTTAAAATTCTTATGGTTAAAAAAAAATTAAAAGAATTTGAAAGCTAGAGTTTAATGAAACATATAGGAGAAAATGCAGCATTGTCCTTTAACCAAAAGAAGCAGGTAAAGTTATTTCAGGTAGACATTCCTAGGTCATATTTCTGTCTGCTTCTTCTTCTTATGGCTAAGGATCCACTATCTTGTTGGTGCTTAATGTGTGCAAACTAGCACCAAAAACTTTGCAGTCGAGGTATCGTATATTCTTGAATTTGTCTTTAAAAAAAGAGCATAGGCCAGCTATGACTTTGCACCAACTTCAGGGTGGAGCTATCTTCTCAAAGGCACTTCTATTGCAGACCTGTAAGGAAGAAAAACATCATTAAAACTAAAATTCCTTCCAGCTAAAATGAAACATGTTGTTTACCACAGTAAACATGTTATTCTGGGTTATAAAAAAAAAAAAAAATTCAAACGTTTGAATTTGGTATTTTTGTTTCTTTTACATCAACAAAAAGTGAAATCCTTTGCAATTTTGTTTTCCTTACACACTACATGAATGCTACATTGCCAAGAGACAGACATAGGGCCAAAGACATGAAAAACAATTAATTAGGCTATGAACTTTTTTAGTCCCATACAGATTTCCTGTTTTTGTCTTTTTGTCTCATATAATCAAACCAGTTTAAATATAGCACATAAGTAACCTGAGTAAAGACCAAAAAGATGAACTCCCTTCTATGTTTTTGATCATTATGTGTTGCAAAAATCAAAAACTGATGACGACTGTAGATGTTCTTCCTTTAGATGTTTCGCTCCATAACTTCTCAGCTCTATAAGTTTCAAGTTTTTGTCTGGCACATTAAGGATCAAAGCACATCAAAACCATCACACTGACACCACCGTGTTTGACTGTCTGTTTGTTAATTTTTGTTTTTTGTAAATGCTATGCTGGATTCTTAAACTGCTGCATTGGGATGCATACCTTCCAAAAAGTTTGTCTCATGTACCCACAGAATATTTTCACCAAAGTCTTGCTGATCATGAAAGATGTTTAACACCAAATGTGAGACATACCTTTATGTCCCTTATTGATCAGCGGTGGTGAAAAATTTAACGTTCTTGTTCAATCTCTTTCAAACTGTTGAGTAATGAACAGAGAAGATAACTGAGGAAAGTAAGGCCAACGGTGCTTTAAGGGCTCATTATGCTTGACGCACCGACATTCTGTGGGGAAAATGAGCTGTATTGAAATTCTGCACGCACGGAGGGCCATGGAAGAGCGGACGTCCTGGATGCATCAAGCATAAACCAAACTCCGGTTAATATCCTCGTTGAGTTCTTGTTTTGTTCTTGGAAACATTTTGGTAGTATGGCTAACAATGAACAGTGATAATGTTCACTACCATTCCCTATTTTTTCTATTTGTGGCTAATGACTCTCAATGTGGTTTACTGAAGTGCTAAAGCCAATTTTATTGATTTTCTTAAGATCAAGGTATAATTAAAACTTTTTTCTCAAATATATTCATAAAAAGGTTTTTCTGTTATACAAAAAACAAAACAAAACATACAGTTCCAGATAAAAGGTTGTATATAGATTTCTACTTGCAAACATCGGCTGCATCTCAACATCCCACCCATCCGCCTCCCTAAGAATTAGACGTATGGTTATAGTATGGTTATCGCATGGTTATCGTATGGTTATTACATGGGTATCTATAACCAGATAACCATAGAAGATGCTAGGGATCTCAGTCAGTCTTTTGTCAGGATTCCAGCCTCGGACAGACGGTCAAACAGAGAGGGACAACCAAGAGGGGGAGACCAAGCTACGGGTGCTATGTGAGTCAGATCCGACCAAATGATCCAGCCAACTGCCATGGATTGAATATGCTGTGAATTCTGCTCCTTCTACAACTACTGGTCTCTCTTGGTTTTATATTGTTTTTGGTTTTAGCCACCGGTGTTCACCATTGAGGAAAAAATGAGAAGTTTCTATCAGCCCAATTGTCCGATTTGAGGTACCAGCGAGCCAGGCCCGATGAACAGAGAGCCATCTCCTGCCTGTCCTCTGACCACCAACACATCAGCACCTAGGACTCTCTGGGCGGCACCCACTGTGTTGCTTTGGCAGCCAACCGGGTGGAACTAACCGCAACCTCTGGGCTCAGACTGAACTATAAGAGCAGGTTACTGACCCACACGTTTGTTATCATCCACTTCCAGAAAGACGTGGTCACTAACCTGTTGTCTCCTCTCTGCAAAGGTTCCTGCCTTAGACGCTGACACTGCTTACTTTGTTTTAGTTTCCAATAAACGTTTTTTGAGAAATCTGTTTGTCCGCCTCAAATACTGGATCCTACTGTTCTTACCCTTAACACTAAACCCATAAAAAGTCTAAAACCCTATTAAAAGCAGGAATCTCCAAATAGTATTAAACTTTTAACACCTAACAGCTGTACAGTAACATGTTTCTGTATCCTCAAAGCATAGATAACTCACTTTGACAAACTATACCAAAATCCCTCCCCTTGAAGAAATGTTTACAGCTTTAATTAAAGAAAACCAATTTACCACCAGTAAGATTGGTCCTCTTTGATCTTATTCCCATTACAGAATGCAAGACTGAATATCTCACTTAGGCCGAGTTATTCTGTTGCTTTTTAGAGCTTACAAATTGGAGAACATTTAATCTATCTTGTAGTGTAAAAGGAAAGTAACCCGGTTAACTTAAGGATAAGGCAGCTTTCTTTAAGCCACACTTCCTCAACAAATATTAGCTTGTTGTGTGACATCCAGAGAGCCTCTGCTCTTTATCTACTAGACCATATAGCTTAGCTGGGGCAGGAGAGTCAATCAATCAATACTAATATTGGAACATTTCCAAGCTCAAATCTATAGTGAGGGTGCAATTGTACAAAACTTTCAACACTCCATCATTTAACTTCTGCAATACCTGTGATGTACTTTTCATTGTACAACAAAGCTTACCGGTATATGCAAATACTTTGCTTTTCCAGATCTGGTGAAAATATGGCATCACAAAGACAGAATCCAAACCCACTACTACATATGCAGAATACAGTGCTAGTAACAAAGAACATTCACACCCATTGCTGGAAGGCAAACAAATTAACAAACAAAACAGTCAAAACAGTAAAGTAGACCTTTGACAAAAGAGGTGAAGGATCATAGTAGTTAATTCACTCATGAGTAGTTAATTCACTCCCCTAAGCTAAAACACCGTGCTCAGACTAGTAAACTGACCTCTGATGTTCTTCCTCCTTCTCTTTAGCAGCCGTCCGTGTAAAACCAAAGCATACAACAGCAAATTCCTTTAGGCGCAAGTCAGGAAACGGAGCAAGAGAAACTTCCTCTGCCTCTTCATGCAGCTCTAAACTAGTTTTTTTTTTTTTTTTAAGCTGAAAATGAAAGCTAGATTAACATTTTGAGCTGCTTGGTTTTTAGAATCATAACCGTAAAACACCCACCCTCTCCTTCCTGACCAACCGATTCAGAGACCAGAAACTGGATATTTTCCAAGCAGCCAAAACAAACTGTCTGCCAGGCTCTGACTAAAATATTTCCAGCCACCCCCTTCCTGTCTCTGTGCTGGCCTCTGGAAAGACCCTCCCAGTCTGGAAACATCCAATAGGAGGGTGGCAGCAGATCCACAACTGGAAAACTTCCTGCTGACCAGCCTATCCTTAGTACCACTGCACAGAGATGATTATGTTCAATATTTACTTATTAAAACCACAAACACAAGCTGTATCCATGTTTTCAATATGCTAACAAAGCTAGTTACTCAGACATTTGTAAAGCTGTCTTTAAACAACAACAAAAAAAGTAAACTTTACATAAACTCTTCCAAAAAACTTTCTATTTCTACTAAAAATATTTTTAATCATATTTAAATACTTTGGCTCATTATCATGCAAATTGTTTCCACAAAAAAAACAGTCAATCCTCTTTTGCATGTCTAACATTTCAAGTAAGGCTGAAATATTAATCGGATTAAACATGATTAAGCAATTATTGAAATAATCGTCAACTAATTTAGTAACCATTTAATAGTTAACTGGAGTTTAGAGGCTCTTAAATTTGCATTTAGCTGACAGAGCAACCCACCTAGATCAGTGATATACCAAAATTGTAAATAAAAAAAAAAAAAAAAAAATCATTTTCATCTGTAAATATGCTCCATCCAGCATACCGGTAAGTGCAATAGTGGTTTTCTCAAGTGGAAAAGCTTTATTTTCCCTTGGTTTATTTAAGCAAAAACCTTTTGCTATCCAATTATTAATTAAAAAAAAGGACAGATCAATGAATTTGCAAAATAATCGTTAGTTGCAGCCCTACTTTAAACTAAAGACCAATGCATGCATGTATGAGGTGTTCAGACCAGACAAATCCCAACAATTTATCAGATGCTGCACTTTAAATGAGCAAATTAACATAAAATAAAAGTTAAGATAAAGACAGAAAATGTAACAAAACTAAAACTCAAGCTTTAAAGTTAAATCAACTGTTTTCTTTCCTGTACTAGTTTTCATTTTCAAATTCATATCTTTTTAGAGAAAAATTGTTAGTAAATAAACAAATAATACAATCTAGTGGTTCTGTAACAGATGTTATAGTTTTGCATGATATAAAAAAACTAAAAGGCTGGCAAGATAAACTCTAAACAAAGTATATGGTAGAAGCCAGAATGAAAGAAAATGCATCATAACAGTACGTCCTGTTTTATGCATTTAAACAAAGAAACTGACTGTACTACAACAACAAAAAAACCAAACTGAAAAATGTGCAAAAAAAAAGAAACATACAAAACACATTGACCAAAAATAGGAACATTTGGAAATGTTTAGTTTCTATTTTCTTATAGTATTTTAAGGTTTGAGTAAAGAGACAAGAACCATGAAACATCTTCAAGATTTTCTACGCTAATCTGTAAAACAACTTAAGTTTCTTGCTAAATGCACAAAAAGCTTCCATTTTTGTATAGTAGGGTGTTTTGTATTTCCAGGGGCCAAGAATTGATATGAAGTACTGAATCAGTAAGCATGTCTTACTTGTTTACAGCAAGCAAACAGGGGTGTGGCTAAGCTATGATCTGTGAGCAGAGGCTGTTGTATTAGTTACAGTCATGGGATCTGCAACTTAGAAAAAAAAAATCATGTTTTCTGTTGGTGTTTGAAGAATCTAAAGTATGGTTGGGTTTTCTTGTTATCAAACTTAGTGTGTTATTATTAATTTAAAATACAAATCCATTAAAAAACATTAATTGATTTGATGCTCAAGAACCCAAACAAAAACTCATTTTTATGACAAACGTAGAGTTAATGGCTATGTATTGACTCATATTTTTGAACAAATCAATCGATAACAGCTTTTAATGTTTTATAATTTACTAAAGGTTCTTATATCTTGCTTTTTTGGCCAAAGATCTAGGAATATATACAGTACCATGAATATTTCCTTTGGCACTAATGAGGATTCATTTGATATATTAGTTGTTTTCTATCAATTCAAAAGAAAAACACTTGTCTTCTCTGCGATGCTGCCTTTCCGTGCTGATGCAGGCAGTTTCATTGCTGTAAAGCGCCTCTTCAATGTTCACAGGGGTGGCCAGAAAGTGGCCAATGTACACTGAGGTGTGGCTGAAAACTGATAGTCGCCAAAACCAGTTTAAGGTTAGTCTACCAAAAACTACTACTAAACTATACATAGCATCATCCCATACAGCTGATGACTTACATTCATGCAGGTTATTATGTTTTATTTTGATATGCATATGACTAAATAAAGAAGCTTTGTTATTCATAATTAGAGCTAGCTTTTATAATGTGATGTGAGGTGTACTGTTGTAAAGCGATTCATAACACAATGCAAATTGAATGGAAATGTGTAACTGAAGATATAAGGATTCTGGTTGGGGATTTTGTGTTTTTTTTGTGTGTTTCTGTAAAGAATGAGTTTTCTCTGTAGTGTGTCTGGGCTCTCCCTTAGAGATAGGGTGAGGAGCTCAGTCATCCAGGGGGGACTTAGAGTAGAGCCGCTGCTCCTCCACATCGAGAGAAGCCAGGTGAGGTGGCTCGGGCATCTGATAAGGATGCCTCCTCGACATCTCCCTGGTGAGGTGTTCCAGCCACGTCCCACAGGGAGGAAGCCCAGGGGGAGAAACAGGACACACTGGAGGCACTATGTTTCTCTGCTGGCATGGGAGCACCTTGGGATTTCCCTGGAAGAGCTGGGCCAAGGGGCTGGGGAGAGGGACGTCTGGGCCTCCATACTGAAGCTGCTACCCCCGCGACCCGACCCCGGATAAGCGGAAGAGGATGGATGGATGGGTAGATGGGTGGATGGATGGATGGTGTTTTTAATAAAGCCATTGCTGTGGCATACTGTTCAACTCCTCAAAGTTCTTCTTTTTTTTTCTTGCAAAAATAACAATTCAATTTAGAAATAAACAACCTTGGTATCCCTGGATTATTGGTGCACTTGTAATTTCTATGGTTTTTAACCAATCAGCGTTCTTGTTTATTTTGCTGTAACAATCTATAAACCTTCCCAAAAGGCAAAATATGTCATTAAACATCAATGTGACATCAAACACTGATATCAATTTGTTACCCTAATTTAGACAAAAAAAAAAAAAAAAAAATCAAAATTACATCACTCTTTTGACATCAATTTGATTTATGTCAAATAATGATTTTATTGATGTCATTTTAACATGAATTCATTGTGATTTGTTACCACCACCTAAGGCCGCGAGCCCAACTTTGTGAACCGTTAAGATTTATTTTTACGCAATCTTAAACCAGACCTCGTCCCTGCAGAGATTGGTAGTTCCAAAAGGGAGCTGATTCACATATTTTTTTTCCTAAACTAAAGAATGGAGTTTTATACTAAGCTAGTAAGCTTTGGGGCACAGCACGTATACAACTCGATGGAGTACATAAAGTGTGATATATTAGCTTGTGTCGGCGCTAATAAGTGGATCTGCTTACCTCATCGTTAGGACACGGTATCACGCAGCAGCAGCCAGGAAGGCAGACGGAAAAAAACGGCGACTGAACTAAGGAAAAACAAGATGTCAAGTGTTCCCAAAATGTCTGTTCAACAGTTCGTCTAATTTTCTCCCGGAACCATGAATCAAAGCTTGCTCGACCCAATTTCTTCCCTACTTCGTTGCGCTGCAAAGATTTAAGCAACAAGCTTTTGACAGCTTACTGTACGACCGTCATTTTCATGTGATGACGTAGTTTTCCGGGGTGAGCCGAACATCAACCAGACAAGCAACACTCCAATATATATATATATTTAAACTCTTTAAAATTAAAGTAACGATATATTAAACGATTTTATACAAAACTGATATATTTTTCACGCTTTGGTGCGAGTTGGATATAGTACTTTTCTGCTTTGGGTGTCTTAGCACCCCTCTAACCACTGCAGGATGGTACAATCCACACGAATGCCAGCAGGCTAAAAGGGCAAGGTTTTGCCTGTTACCAAGGAAACAACAGTAAAACCATGTGGATGTTTTTAGATTAGTTTATGTTAACGCGCTCACATTCACTCATATAAACCACTTATTAGAGGGATGTTACTGTATATGTTTAAGACAATACCTAATTTACAATTTCACCAACAAATGTAAAATTACATTTCCAGGTTAAATAGATAAATGTGTTTAGATTTTAATAATAAACAATATATGGTTGCCTGCTTAATAAGTATTTTATTAGAAGCTTTTTTAATCTACAGAGCTGTAGTCAGATGCAATGTAACTGACAGCAGGATGCACCACTGCAGCTATATGCTCAAGGTCAAATAACATGGAAGCTAACCCAGATAGGATCATGCTGCCAAGAGGTGGAAAGACAAGGAGGGAGCAACTGTTTAATATCAGGAGTAAACATATCAATTTGTAGAAAATGTTTGAAACACTTCCAAATCACTGAGTTTTGTTTATTATTTTTATTTATTTATTTACTTAAAGCTATATATGTTAATTATACAATGATTCATTGTTGTTTAATCCCAGATTTCTAGATATAAGATTTGATTGAAGTGAGACAACACAAAGACCTGGAAAAGGAAAGTTGAAAGGTAACTTTTTATCATTAATCAGTCCCAGTCTGACTAAAGAAAAATCACACACGTTTTGCTAAACTGAACAGTGTTCCAGAAAGCTAAAATCTAGAACTGCATTTCTTTAGCCTGAATTTGTTATTGTGTAATGATGAGATTTATTTTTCTTATTTATTATCAGGGCCGGCCCAAGTCATAAGTGAACCAAAGAGATTTGTTGTTTCTATACTTTTTTTGGTGATTTCTATATAGACAGTACTAGAGTTGAGGGAGGATGAGGGGGGATGGCTCCCCCCTTCTTAAAATAAAATAAAAAATAATCCCTCTTCTTAAATGACCATCCCCCCATATCATCTCCTAAATATGTAAAATTTCTACTATATATTAACAGTAATGGCAATAATATTGCCCTTTCAATATGTGACGGGCTGTGGGCTTACAAGTAGCCTGAGCA